AACTATAAGCATCTAATTCATTTTGGCTAATTAAAATAGCTTGATTAAACTACATTATCACTTCCTAGTGTTATTCTAGTTGCATTAAAGAAATTCCTAATAAATAAAATAATTTCTACTTTTATTAATGATTATCTTTGTGTTGTATGCCTTAATTTTAAGCGCAAGGTCATAGGCATTCAGAGCCTCTTAATTATTCTTTTAGTCATATAATGAAAATCCTTTGTTTTTATTAAACTGTCATCAATACCTTTTCTATATTAAGCTTGGCATTTTCTTTGTTCAATTTGATAGCATAATTATATTAATTGATAGCTTCATCATATCGTTTTTGCATATGTAGGGAAATTCCTATTTATTTAGATATGCTTTTTACCTTTACTGATATATAAATCAGGATACTTTGGGTTAGTTTCAGTGCCTGATCATAACAATGCACAGCACTATTGTATTATTCTAATATTGTACTCCAATACACAATTTAATTATTCTTATGTAACACCTAAATAAATAACCTAAATACGTTTGTTATAAAATATTTCATAATCTTAAGGATCTATTTTAATTGCCTACTCAATACTATAGCTCATTGTATTAGTCTAATTGGTTTAAAATTAATTTTTTTAATCTCATCGATAAAGCCATTCCTTTGCATTTCTAGAAAAATTATACTATACCTTTGTTTAAATAACACTTGATATTTTTTGAGTCCAATTGTTTAGCTTAATCATAGCAAGCAATTGCTTCCACAAATCGATTAAAATAATACAAAGTAATCCCTCATTATTGATTAATATGCCTTTTTGAATATGAGATTCTGGGTCACTTGCATTTATTTTTTTAAGCCTCCTCATAACAAAATAAAGAGTCTTCATAGTTTTATAATTAGCTTAATGCTACAACTAAAGACAATAAATTAAAAATTATTACCTTTATTAGGATAAATTTTATCAATTTATGTAAATGAATTAATTTACGAATCAGAGAAGGTTAAAGTTTAAAGATATTCTAGTTATTTAACTTGAAATTCTAATGGATTAAAAAACTATTACCTTCTACTTTATTATTTTAAATAGCCTTATTATAATGTATTATCTCTTATAATTAAATTCCTATCTACAACATAAAAAAATGTGATATCTTTTTGAATAAAATAGTTAAGCTAATTTTTGCTTATCAAGATGGCTTTATCATAACAAACTATTGCTTCTGAATACCTATCTAATTAAGCTAGGCATATTCCTTAAAAATATTAATATTTAAGTCCTTCTGTTACCTTTATTAACAAGTGCTTTAATTTTTGAAGCATTAACTTTCAGAGCTTTAACAAAGTAATCAAGTGCCAATTAATATCTTTTTAGATAATGTAATGAAATTCCTAATAGAATATATTATTGCTTACCTTTGCCATTTAATGCTTCAAAAGTTCTTTGCATTTTAATTGATTGCTTAATAATAGCACATCAAAGCTTCTTCAAAATCTCTCTAATTAGTTTAGTAATATTCCTCAAAATTATTATGATCTAATTTTACCTTTATTAATAGATGTTTAAAGATGTTTGGATTTTATTAAAGAAATTCATTATACGAAGAAATGGTATCTTGATATTGATTTTTTAACCATTGAGGAATTTAAGCCTGAGCTTTGACTATTGATGAATGATGGTTCAATACCTAATTATTCTAAATAGATTAATAGGTAAATTATAGAGCTTAATCATAAAATGTTAGAGCTTCTTCACATTGATTCAAAAACTGTAATGACATTCCTTTTTTCATATTTCATGTACCTTTTCGATAGTATATTTCTGTGTCTTGTTGATTTAGCTCCATATAGTAATTGCAGCATTAAATAGATTTCTCATTGAGTCCAAGTTAGGTAATAAAGAAATTCCTAATAATATATTTATAACGGATGCATTTATACTTAAATGCTTCCTGATTTAAAGGATTCAACTTAAGGGCTTGATCATATTAAGAAATAGATTCTTTGTATTTTTATAAATAATCTAGTGATATCCCTAATTAAGTTGGACCAACCTTTACAAATATAAGAAAAAATAGCGTATTTGTACGTTTCGTGTATTTTAACATGGTATTATAGTGGCTGCCTCTTTAGATAATCATAATCTAAAACCTTCCCTAATTAATAACGTAATCACAGTACTCTATTTACAGTTTTCAAAAAATATTTCATCTAACTAATAAATTGAAAGTATGTATCACCATTGCCTTTAATATGTAATACATTTCAAATTACAATTTTTAACCTTCATAAACTGGGAAATAATTATTATAATTTATTAATATTCTATTTTTGCTCTGTTAATAACTATAAATTAATTTAGAATACTACTTTTTTCCTCTTTTAAAACTATTTGTTTTTATTAAAAAAAAATATCCCTTAGTATTCAAATTTATCATTAAAATACAAGTTGAAATTTAAGAATTACTTCAAATCATAGCAAATTTTATAGTTCAAATATTAGTATAATGAGGTATTGAGTTATAAAAACTTCTTAATTCATTATAAATTTAATATTATAATAGACCTACTTCAAAATTCAAATGTTTTCAACTTTCGGTTTTTATAAATGTAAATTTTCAATATTTATTTTAGGGTCAAAATTTTCATTCAATTATATTTGGAGGAAAAATATTTAAGCAATGTAAATTACCACAACTTACAATTAGGTTCAAGATGACATGAATATCATTCATTGTTATACACATAGCAAAAAATGAATAATTTTATTACAGAAAATTGATTTTAGATTATTATACTTTGATAAATGATGTTAAAATAAAAAAAATTGTTCTTTCTTTATTTTTATCAGGCATTAACAAAAGTTTTTCTTTT